TGCAGGTTGTTGTTTTTGAGGGATTCTTGGGCAATTGCAGGTTGTTGTTTTTGAGGGATTCTTGGGCAATTGCAGGTTGTTGTTTTTGAGGGATTTTTGGGCAATTGTAGGTTGTTGTGAGGGATTTTTGAGCAATTGAGTTCAGTGAATTGAGTTGGGTTCGATGAACCTATTTGTTGAGTTACATCGAACCCAGATTTGCTGGGTTCTGTCGAACATGGAAGGAAGAAAAATAGTAACCGATGGGCAAAGATGGTGATGTGGGACCCATTTGAATGGATTTTGCGTGATTTTGCCAGGTAGCATGTGACATGGTAGACATATCATCACTTTTTTAAGTTTTTCTCTCCACATCATCAAAAAAATATAAAAAATGCCACCTAAGCCGGGTTAACGGTCCAAATTAACAGAAGGACTAACGGAATGCATTTTCTATAGTTAAGGGATCAAAAAAGTGCAAAAAATTGTTAAGGGACCAAAAATGTTCATTTGATAAAGTTAAGGGATCAAATTAAGCATTTAACCATTATTTTCTTGCTGTCCCTGGCTTCTTGGTTTGAGCAATGCTAGGAACACTCGCCATTTGCACTCTGCAACCAACACTTCCATTTTCATTGGGCCACGTTATGTTGGTCGGGAGAGATAATCATTTCATAGCGGAAGCAAGCTTACGTGGGCCAATAAAAAAACATGTGTAGCCCATAAAAAAGCACTGTTTTTTTAATAAAAAATATACAATCTTAAATTAATATTTATTTTTAAAAAATCAAAATTTAAACTCAATTTGCGTATCAAAGTACTTTTCACCTGTTTTTCATTTTAAAAAAAATATGATCACCACTGCTGTAGTTACACAGGGAATGTACTCTCTTGGTTTTACATTAAACGTGTCCTTCCGTATGGGTGAATTATTTTGATGCTGGCAGGTTGCTTTCTTGTTGGTTCTGGTTACCACGGACGTGATATAAACAGTAATATTCTAACCTTTCTCCTATATTACACTAGTCGGTCTATTCAAAGCTCACGACCACACAAAAGTACTCTTATGAAAGCAATCTTAGGTAGGAGTGTCCGCCCGGCTGCCAATCAGAGAGGCGGAGAGAGTCAGCGTAAGCTCACTCGTAAGCTCGAAGAGCTTTCTCCGCCAGAGAAAGTATAGAAGGGGAGAAGCGACTCGTCGTAGAAGCTTGGCTTCTGGCGAAGCCAAGCCTAAAAGATCGGCTTGGCGCAGGGAAAATCCATGTGCTCAGATGTGGCTACATCATTCTGTCTCGACAACATGGACAGCTATATTCCCTTAGTCAAAGCACGTATTCCATGAATCTGGACGTACGAGCCGGCCGCCTGGATATCATTAAGAACACCTCTATCTCTTCTTCAAATTGCTAGCTCTTTACCAGTATACCATCCTGCGGTAGTTTCAAAACAAAAGCAGCTTCTGCCACGGCAGTTTCAACTTTCAAAACAAGTGCTGCGCCTCGATGGCTCTCCAAGTGGCAGAGCTTATCCGCCGGCAGAGATTCCTCAGCTTCTCCAAGGCTAGTTTTTTCTTATCAGGTACTCTTATTTAAGCTTTAAAATTCGAGTTACAATTGAGTGAAACTCAATTAATTAAAAGAGCCGAAACTGATTTTTTTTTTCTTTTGTGTGGTTAATTATAATTAAGGTGATCAACTAACCTTCATCTCAAACAATAAACCGAATGCTGCAGGTTTGGTATTTGGTAATGCCGTGGCCGAATGTTCATTTTTAGGTTTCTTGATTGTATTAATTACTTGATTGACAAAGTATGGTACAAATTGAGGCGATGGTTTTTTTTTTTACATAACAAATATAATACTAAATTAATATTTATTTTAAAAAAATTAATTCTTAAATTTAATTTACAGACAAAAATTTATTTCACTTATGCAAAAAATTATGTACCCGCATAATTTGTGTGTTACTATAATTTTTTGACAAAGTTTGTGTGTTACTATAATTTATGTACCCGCATTGTTGAGTATATCTTCCTATTCAAAAAAATATATATAAGCAGAGGTAATTAAACTAGTGCATTGAGATAGTATCTTGTCTATGTACAATTAATGTACTCAATTGTTGTACGTACCCACGGAAGTGTTTATGCTCGAGTCATTTGTTCAGAGTCTTCAAACCAATTAAGTCAAAGAATTAAATTAAGTTGTAGCATTTTCGAGATATCTCTAGTGTATTTCCTCTGACCTTCCTCCCAAAGTTGTATAACTTCCTCCCAAAGTTGTATATTTCCAATGTTGCAAAAAGACACGCTGGGAAAGCAACTTGCTAGTATAAAGCAAGATGCTTCTATGCCATAAACGCGGTCCGTTCGTTGCCTTTGCATTTGCATTTGCATTTGGACCGGTTCAACGCGCTTTATCATTTTGTTAAGGTTCAAGGCAAATGCAAGCGGATGGGGCGGAAGCAGAACACTCCTCGGAGCACCGTGTCTGAATTCTTAAGCATGAAGTTTACTCCTCAACAATTTGGGTCTATAATACAAACATTATTTCGTTTTCCTTTCCTTTCCCCGTAGAGGAATGTTAAAGGCAAACGCCCTTTTGGTCACTCGCTGCACCGCTCTCCCTCTTCTTTCCCCACATATATACCCTATACTTTTAAATTAAAATATTGAAATTGGTTGCAAAACTTCTACAAGACTGTAGGTCACACATCCATAATCTTCTTCTTCTTATTTTTTCTTTGGTTGAAATTCTTCCTTTCTTCTTTTCTGTTCATTTCCTTCCATTGGTGAATAGAATTATATCTTCAAATCTTGTCCCGCCGGTAATTGGGCTACTATATCCTTCCTCTCTTTCTTTATTGATTTTCAAATCTTGTTCTATTATTTCTTCTTTCTTTCTACCTTTCTCTCTATTTCCCTCTTTTCTTCAACAATCTAAAGGGATGGAATTTTTAAGATCTCTTGAGAGTGATAATTATTGGAAAAAGATGAAACAAGAAAGACCTATTTCGAAATTTTTATAACTTGTAATGATTTGTAGTGAAGATTTGTAGAAAAAAATCTGAAAAAAAGAAAGAAAGAAAAATAAGATGGATGAGTGGTAAAGAGCAAGCGCTAGAGCGAGTGCTCTTAGCATTACTTTTTCCTGTATCTAATTTTGAAATGGTAGAGGTTTCGATTTGCCGATGACAAAACTTTCTCCTGTTTGCAGTGGTATACTTCTCGGCCTTTGTTTCGAGCTTGTATCATTTGGTGATCATATATAACTTGAAGACATGGCAGGTTGCATTGTTCGCTGCTATGGTGCCCTCAAAGAGAAAGCTTCTTCTTATTTCTGCTTCTCCAAGGCCGCTTTATTAATGCAAGGTAGTCTTAATTTTGTTAAGATATGTTAAGAATTAATTGTATTAGTTTTTCATTAGTTTCTCATATTTTCAAAACCAGGGAAAAAAAAAATAGCGTCTTCTTAATATGAAAAATTGGATCTTGTACCTCCTCTTATTTTCCTTTCTTCTTGTTTCAAAAAAAATATCTCGTCTCCTTTGAATCTATGTGTCTTTCATAGCCCTTCTATCGTTTTTTCCCTCTAATTTATCTTTTCTCCTTTATTTTTTTTTTCCTCCAGCATCAATTTTCTTTCAATTCTTTTCAAAAAGTTGTTTTTGGTGAGCCACTGGCCGGTTCTAATTATTTTTCACCTACTTTTGGCCTGAAATTAATACTCATGAAAAAGGCTTTTATCCATATATATTGAAGATGTCAAGTATGAATTTTGAAATAAATAGGAGGAAGAAAAATAAAAATTATGATGTTTGGGTATTTTAAATGACAGATTTTTTAAAGAAATTATTTAAATATTTTTAAGAATTTTTTTATATTAATTCATTAAAAATATATTAATTTATTTATTTTTTTTACCAAAAAAATATAATATTTATTAATAAGTGAAATACAAGAAATATTTCAGACGCATAACCATCAAAACTTGAAAGACATCATATTACATGAGTGAAATAATCCTTTCGTTTGATGTCGACTCTAGAATTATGTGTCAATACCACATCCGTGTCGGGGTTTTGGATACTTACCATATGGTGTCGACACTATACCAGTGTCAGATTTCTGTTCTCTTTTGCAGTTTCTTCATATATTAATCCATTTATTATCAATTTTGATATTTTAATTACCAAAACATCCTGATTTTTTCTAATCCCTTTCATATCTTAGAATAATTTGAGACCTAAAATTTCTTTTTGATAATTCCTGGGAGCAGTTCAACTCTAAAGAAACAAAACATCATTGATTACATAAAATGCTCGACGATGTATCAAAACTATGCTTATTTTCATACAATATGTTGGCTGCGACAGGTTTATTTTTCAGCCATGGCTTTGTACAACTTGCATTTTTAAGTGTCATGATTTCTTTAATCGAAGAAATCTCTGGGAAGAAAATACTGTGGTACAATGCAGTCGTTTCGACCCTTGTAGAAGGCACTTCATCAATTTTGGTCAGTTTAATGTCATACGATAAGTATGGACGCATGTTTCCCAAGACATCTATTCTCATCACTCAAGGAATTTTCCTCACGGTAAGTTCATTCTTCATATTTCTATAGTTAAATTGCACTAAGGCCATATAGTTTGAGGCAGGCGCATTTAACAGCTATGTGGTTTAAAATATGCACTTAAGAGCATTGAACCACAAGAGTATTTGAGATTTCACTTTCAATATTAATGAACTTAGAGATTAAGTACATATTTTCCTAATCACAAATTAAGGAGATTAAAAGCATATTTATTTCTTAATTTGAGATAAATACATATATTTTCAAAGTTCATAAGAATCTAACTACATACTTTATGTTGTGGGGTTGCACCCACCCAAACCACGTAGGGGGTAAGTGAAATTTCCACCATTTTTATTGAATTTTTTTCCTATTCCTTTCACGTTTGCCTTAAATATGACACGAAGTAGTGCAACTAATTGCCATTCTTGTTGCAGGGTTTGCTGATATTGTGGCTTACTCCATCATCAAACATTAGAGCTATTTACTTGGTACTATCATTAGTAACGGTAGGCAAAGCAGGAGTAAGATACATAACCTTCTTTCTAGAACGCCAGATTATGTTGGAACATGACATAGATGACAAGAAAATACTTGAGGATCGTACAAAATTTTGGAAGGTTATTGGCCTGATTTCAGGCGTCGGCACTGCTATAGGGATATCAAGAAGGCCTTGGAAACTAAAGTTTATGTTTTCAGCGATAGCAATGGGAATTGGCTATCTGTCTTTCTGTTTTGGACTCATATATTACAAATCTGAAAGGAAAATAACTAATATCATGCCCGTGGTTTCAGAGGACAATCAATCAAGGAAGAGTTCCCAAAGCTGGAGGCATCTAAAATTGCTTCCTTTATGGATACCATTCCTTGCCTACTATGTAGTCCAAACAGCAGGTACTACCTTCTTCCTGAAACAAATTGATGTGGTACAAGTTGATATTCTAGTTAAAAACATCAAGTTTCTGGATCCTGAAACTTGTATGATTTTAGTACGAAGCTTTCCCGGTGTCCTCTTGCGTCCCATCTTAAAACGCTTTAGTGACAAAAAATATAAATTGCGTGCTGCGCTTACCTTGGGGATGGTTTTTAACTTTTGCTCCTGCATTGCTTCTTGGCATGTTGAGGCTCGCAGACTGCATATGTTCAAAAAATCAGGAAGCAATATGAACCTCTTCTGGTTGGTTCCACAGTTCTTCTTGTTAGGATGTGCGATTGAACTTGTAGGAGAAGGGCTCGAAGATTTCTTCTCTGACCTCGTACCAGAATCGAAGCAAGAGTTGGGATTCGCATTCAATAGACTTGTGGAAGGAATGGGAAAATTTATTAGTGTGGGATTTGTTCTAGCCTTTCGAAATTATTGGATTGGTGACACTATCAACAAAAGTCGTCTTGACAATTACTACAGGGCATTGGCATTTCTAGCCTTAGGGGCCTTATTTCTCTTCACATATCTATCAAACACCGATGGTTGCACTTGGGAGATAGATCTTGAGAAGAGTGAAGAGGGGGATGCAGCTTTCCCTACGGACGTGGAGATGGATGTACTCTCAACTGGTAATGATGGAAATTTAGTATCTGTAAGAGTTTAGTTAATTTCAAACTTTTGTTAATGGTCCTTGTTTAATTAGATTTAGTGGGGTGTTTAGGGTTTTCCTGTTTTATTTTTTGTGTTACGGTTTTCTCCCAAAATTAAGCCTGAACCAACCCAGCCAAAATGCTCTCTAAGAGCTGTGTATGTATTCTAATTTATTTATTTATTTATTTATTTTTTTGGTAGTGAGCAAGCTAGCATGTATTCTAACCGTGTGCATGAACTGAATGCATGATTTGTGTACGTTGTGTTGCCATCTCCTAAACAGTTAAACTTCAAATAAAATCGTTCAAAAAAAAAAAAAAAAAAGGG